TCAGAAAACCACTGTCACTTGTTGGTATTAAAATGATGATAAAAAATTTGAACACATAGATTTTTTAGTGGTTTTTTTAATTATTATTATTTTATATCAGTTTAGGTATATGGTACAATCATTAGACATTTACATCATTTATGAAGTGATCCCCCCAATTGCTGTAGCATCCACCTGACACCTTACAATAATATTGACTATATTCCCTATGCCGTACTCTACATCCCCATGACTGTTTTGTAACTACTAATTTGTACTTCTTCAAATCTTTGCCTTTTCACCCACCCCTCCAAAAATCTATGAACACATAGATTTTTTAAAAAACATTATTCCAAATCTCAGCGCCCCTAAGTACCGATGTTATCATTTGGTGTGTAAATTTCCAGAACTTTTTCTCATGGAAATATATGCATCTTTACAGAAATGAGATAATCCTACTTAGCCATTTCTTTAACCACCTTTTCCATTTAATGTACTTTACACAGCCCTGCATGCCTATCAGTATAGATTCCCTGCAAGGCTGTGTAGTATCCATGGTGTCACCTACCATTGAACTTTCTACTGTGGGACATTTGGGCTGCTTCAGTAGTTCAGGTTTTCCATATTATAAATAGTGCTGTGGGGAAATCCTTGTTGAAACTTTCATTCTGCCTTGTTCAAATATTTTAGGGCTCATTTTTAACAAAAGAACAGCCATCCCAGTAAGTGCTGTTCATGTCCACACCCCCAAATTAAAGGGCTTCCTCTGGTCTTCATCTTACTTGATTTTCTGAAGCATTCAGGTTGGTTGACAGCTCTTTCCCCTTAGAAACAGTCACTTCCCTCGACCCAGAGACACCAGTGCTTCTTGTTTTTTGGGTTTTTTTTGTTTGTTTTTTTTTTTTTAGTGATCCCTTTCCAGTTCCTCTGCCATATTGGTGGCCTGTAGGCTGAGTCTCAGGGCATCCTGTCTCCTCACTCCACATATTCTTCCAGGCTATCTCATCCACCTTCCACCCTGGCTTCAGTAATAATAGTCAGCATTTATTGAAAGAGTACTATGAACTTTAAATCATCACATTTACTATTCTGACTAACCTAGAAATGGGAGCCTTTATAATTCCATATTCTCATCTCTCAGGCATATCTGTCTTTGACTGCTTAATTTCCAGAGTTTTGTGAACCATTGATTCACATATTTTGCCTGTTTTTTCAGTTGTTTCAGGTAGGTAAATCCAGTCCTTGTTATGATTGAGAGTAGAAGTTCGTGATTCTCATCTTAAAGATAAAAAAGCCGAGGCTCCATAACATGACTTGTCCAAGGTGACACAGACACAGGCTCACATACCTAAGAGCTAAGAACTTAACTGTGAGGCTCCATCACTGTGTCGTTTGGCTACATGCTGCTGACCCCCAAGTCTATACATCTAGGCCAGTCCCCTCCTCTCATCTGCTTGGTGTCACCAGCTGCCCTTATCTCCCACATATCCGGGCATGTCAAACTCAACATGTCCAACACTGAAGACCTGCCACAGATCTCATACTCCCTGTCTCTTCAAAGGGTATCTCCATCTGCCCAGTCGCTAGGCCAGAAACTTGACTCATCCTCCTCCCTCGTGCCCTTCAGCCCATGAATCCACTAGTCCTATTGGTGGAAAAGGGAATAATGAGAAAAGAGAATATGCCCATGTCCTGATCCCCAGAGATGTGAATATGTTACCTCACCTGGCAAAAGAAACAGGAAACCTGAGATGGGGAGATTATCCTGGATTATCCCGGTATAATCACAGGGTCCTTATTAGAGGGAGGCAAGAGGTTCAGAGTCAGAGAGAAGATGAGATAATGGAAGCAGAAGTCAGAGAGAGACTGGAAGATGATACACTGCTGGCTTTGAAGATGGAGGAAGAGGCAACAAGCCAAGGCAGGTGGCCTCTAGAAGCTAAAAAAAGGCAAGGCATGGATTTTCCCTAATAGCCTCCAGAAGGAGCACAGGTCTGCCAACGCCTTGATTTGAGACTTCTGACATTTGGAACTGTCAGATAATATATCTGTATTGTTTAAGCCGCTAAGTTTGTGATCATTTGTTACAGCAGCCATGAGCAAGTCCTACAGATGACATGGTGAATAGATAAGCACATGGCCTCCAGCACCAGTCTACCTGAGTTCAAGCCCAGCCTTGGCCATGTACTGGCTATATAAATGTGAACCATTCACCTAACTTCTTCGTGCCTCAGTTTCCTCATTTTATAAAATAGTAATTAACAAAACACTCACTTTACAGGCTTATTGTGAAGATCGACTGCATTATTCCAGATGAAATTCCAGCGAGCTTTAGATGAGGGGGAGCAGTCGTTCTTATGACTGCTATTATTGTTCTTACCCAAGGCCTCCCAGACCTGTCCAGACCCCTCTCCCTTTCCGTCCCCATGTCCCCAACCCAGACCTGACCTTCCTCACTGCTTTTTAATGGATCCCCTGTAAGACACGGGTTTGACGCTCTGCCTTTCTCCTGCCAGTCTTCCAAGGCATCTCTTCGCCCTTGAGGTGAAGACTAGAACTCTCCCAGTGGTGCAGGAGGCTTCATGCGGCCTGGCTCTGTACCACTCCGAGTGCTTCCCCTCATTGCTCAGCCTTTCTTTCAGCTTCTTCAAACTTTCTGGACTTCAAACTTGCTCCTCTGTCACCCACCCAACCCTCAGCGCCTCACTAAATGGGCCCACTCCCACTCCAGAAACCCTCTCTGGCCACACCCTCAAGTGAGGTCTCTGTTGTGTGTTCCCGAGGCCCTGGACTTGCTGGGACTGCCACGCCTATGTTAACATGTCCAGTGCTTGTCCTCCCCCGCCCCCCAGGGTAAGGCCAAAACTAGAATCAGAGACTGTGTCTGTGCTCCGAGCCAGTCCTGGCAGTCAGGTGGTCAGCAGATGTCAGTGAGGACCTTGAACATGGCCCACACAAGCAGGACAACCCTGCAATTCAACTGATCATCACATCACTTTCTTGTTTGTGTGGAGGGCCAAGGGGGCATATTTCTCATCAACTCACTGGCCAGTTCTGACCTCGCTTAGCTGATGAGCTCTGCACTGGAGGTGCTCATTGACCTCCGCTGACTACCTTCAATGTGGCCACGCCTGCCCACTTCCTGTGTGAGTGAGTGAGTGAGTGAGTGAGTGAGTGAGTGAAAGACCCTAACGTCCTGCCCACAGCTTTCTCCAGTGACCATACAAGGAGAACTGTGGGTCCTGGGAAAACCAGCACTAGGGTGCCTACCCATACCCCAGGGGAGGGAGGGCCTGGAGCCAGGTGGCTATACCTGTGGAGGGCGCCCTCTCACCCCTACCTGAAATTCTGTGGAAGATCTTCCCTGGCCAGCTGTGGTGAACTCCGCCAGTGACTACCTTGAAGGAAAACGATCTCAGGCCTTCGTGGGGAATGCCTTGTGGTCTCTGCTGCCTTACTGGGGAGCACAGGTGCAATGAGCAGGCAGAAGTCCCTGGAATCTCTCAGCAGAAGGAACGTCCCTCCACTTTTTGGCCTAGTTCCCACACAGCGCTCCAGAAATGTGGCATAGAAGCTTAGAATGGGAAGTCCTTTAAAACTGCTAGGTATCTTGGAGAAATGAAGGACGTTATGCTTCTGCATTGCAGGTTCTCATTCTGCCAGGCACTTCATTATTTAAACAAGAAGTAGAATTTCTAACTTCTTACAGGTAACAGACATACTGTGGTTTCCAGCACCTTTCATAATTTCTGGTAGAGGAAGGAAGTTGACCACCTAGGGAGGGGTCAGCCGGCTCTTAGCACGTGGAGCTCATCAGCTAAGCAAGGTCAGAACTGGTCAGTGAGTTGAGTTGTTAGCTTCCTGGGGCTGCTATAACAGTACCACAAACAGGTGGCTCAAAGCAACAGGGAGTTATTCTGTCACAGTTCTGAAGGCCCCAAGTTCAAAATCAAGGTGTTGTCAGGATCAGTTACTTCTGGAGGCTGAGGGAGAATCTGTCCCATGCCTCTCTTCCAGCTTCTGGGGG